GACACCTACTGCAGGAGGAAAGCTGAATCAGCGAGCGTGTAAGCATCTCAGTGCTGGCAGAGGTCTCTGGCTGCTCCATCACCCAGGACTGCATCAGGGTAGGTCCATGTGGCTTCTCAGGGATGTTTCCCAGGAAGTGAGCCTTGCCAGCTGATGCAGGGAACTGGCTAAGGCAGCTGCACCCTGGTCTGACCATCAGAGACCAAGAGACCAAAACCAGAAAGGCAAGGCTCACCAAGCCCTTTATCTCTCCACCCTTCAATTAATCCCACATGTGTTTATTGGCCAGGTTGGCACAATATACCTTAACTATTTCAATCCACCCCTTGCCAACTTGGCACCTGTACACAATTCTTTAGCCTAGTAATTGCAGTTAAATAACACTTACACCTTAATCCTATAATCCTATGAATATATTCGCCCATCTATGCAAGTTTGTAAGCCAACCACGTCACGCCTTTATCCCCCCAATATGGGGAATCCAATTTCTATACTTCCCACTTACATTTACCCAGTGCTCTGAGGAGATGATCATCTTTTTCAACATGAAGAATCTTCATTCCAGTTGGAACTTTTTGAAGTCCGCATCCATAGGCAAAGTCAAATCAGAGCAGACCATCCATAAAGTCAGCAGCAGTATGCACCAGTTCACAGGTTCAAAAATCTCTTCATCTGGTTGGGTTCTGGTGAACTCAATGTGATCTGCCTCACTTAGCCTCCCCAGGGTGCCCATTGGTTGCCTTGTCTTTAGACCATGGGCTCTCACCAATACTCAACAAGCCTAGCCCCCTTGTGCAAGGTCATAAATTTTAGACTAGTCAACCCGCTCTGGTCTTCTCCTCTTTTACCTGTTAACCAAATCCACAGGTGTCAGTGGCCAAACTCAACCTGTCTCTTTATTGCTGCATTTATCCCATTTCCACTCAACAAGTAGATCTAGGTGGTCACCTAGCAAGTATTTCAACCTGCTCACAGGCTCTCTTTAATGTTCAGTCCTAGAGAGGAGTTTTCTTCATGGTTCCAGATTTTTTTTCCAGCTTCTGACAAAGACCACTGGTTCTGAGTACTCCAAAGAACTGGGTGGGACATATCTTTTCAAAGCTTTCTTTGCAGGCATGGTCTAAACCCATCTAAAGATCAAATCTTACTGACTGAAAGCAAGTGGGCTTACAAGCTTTCTATTTTTAGAAATATTTCTAT